CTGCAGGGAATGGTGCCTGGAAGAGAAGTCACCTTCTTTGCTGTTGATGCTTATGGTGCCCATCTGCCCTCAGAGGCTGCTCGGAGGGAAAATCTGGGTTGAGTAAAGGAGCAAGTTCAGGAAGGGCTTGCTGGAGGTCTGGCTGGACCCACCTGAGCAAAGATGGCCTTTTTCTTTGTTTTGGTGGGTACCATCCCAGCACAGGCTACTGTGCAGCTGAAAATGAGAGACACCTTGAATTCTCTCTTAGTGAAGCCCTTTCTGGGATAAGCCAATAACTGGGGAATTATCCAAACTCCCAAAGATTTAATGATTAAAAACTCCCTTGGATGGCACTAAGTTCAACAGCCTTCCCTCTCTCTTCCCCAGATTTCTGGTTTTACCATGGCACTGAATCAGAGACCATTATTTTAGACATTTGCAGCACAACCACGAACAACATGAATCTTTATCCAAAATTACTTCACCTCTCCACCAGGACTTGCTCAAGGTTTGGGTTGTAGGTAGTGGCCTGGCTTAATTTCTACCTAAAAGACACATTCTACATTCTTTCCAGCTTGGGTGTAAGCTCTGAGAGGAACAGCCCTCTGCAGATCTTAACAGGGCTAAAAATTCCTTTCCATTCTTACCCTTGTCACTTACAGCATTTTTACCTTTGGCCACTGAAAACCAGTAACAAAAAATCTCCTGCCAGAAGAAGAGCTCAGTGTAGTGTAGCAGATACATGAACCAGCTAGGTGTGTGCTTGGCTCTCTGCTTCTCTCCTGCTTCTGAGTGGGACCTTCAGGTCACATCCATCACATCAGCCCTGTATAATGATGAAGACCTGATCATCACTTGATGGGTGAGATGTTACCCGGTACCAGGAGCATAAAGACGTAGTGATATTGCACCAGAAGTTCCCCTCATGTTTCAGTTCTCCAAGCTGGGCTGCAGGTCACAAAGGCTACTGGGTGCAACAGTGCAGGAGTTTGTATTTACTACCTGGTAATAGCACACGGTGGACCACAGTCTGAGCTTATTTACACGGGTGTCAGCCCAGCCCAAAGTAGTCTCTTGGTGCCACTGGATTTACACAAGATTTACATCCCTGGAACGAAGAGCAGAATTTGGCCCTAAGTTATGATGCAGTTAAAGACCCCGTGTTTCTGAATTGCAGAGAATTGTTTACACCCACATGAAATGGGTCATAAAATGCTATTGCTCTGATTTGTTGGAGTGTTAGACCCAATTTGCTCAGGTGTAAATAACTACCCAGTGGGTGGCATAATGTTTGCATCCTGGAACTGAAGGCACTGCTGCCTGCTGCAAATCAGTCAGGCTCCAGGCTCCTCCCGGGAGCAGAGGGGATGCTCCTGGCCTGGAGAAAGTGATGCAATAGCAGATTGCTAATGAGTGGGAGTTCATGGGGAGTATCTGGTGTACACTTTCCTTACTCAACTGGTTATATTTTGCAGCTGAAGTCTCGTGTCCTGATGCCTCCCTTGGCGATCTCTCCGCCGCGCAGCACCCCGGAGCCAGATATCAGTTCAATCCCCCAGGATGCAGCCACAATCCCCAACTCGGCCACGCCACAGGCTCTCACAGGTACCCAACCTCAAGTGCTCCTTGGCCAAGGGGTGAGCAGGAACCATGGGCTGGTAGCCAGCTGCTCTGCTTTCCACAGCAGGCAGAGCTCATGAGAATGGGGTGTTTGCAGATGAGACGGGTGAGCAGTGACACAGAACTGAGGTGTCCCATGAGGCTACAGTTTGACTGCTGTGTGTCGAGTTCAGTGGAGATGTCAGACCCATTCCTCTTGAAATGCAGACACCAACATCCCCTGAATGCTGCCATTTTATGCCCCACACTCACCCCATCGAATGTGTTGCAATGACCAGACTAAACCCCGGTGTGAACATGAAGCATCTGTTACAGCCATGGGGAGGAGAAGGATGGAGAAGCCAGAGTCTGACTGTAGGCAGGGTTACCAGCACAGAAACCCCAGTGCCTTACCACAGCAGTAGACTGGTCATTTCTAACTGTAGTCAGGGAAAAAACAGCCTTACTCTTTTATGTCTTATATTACCAGAAGTAACATAGGTCAATGCTTTTAAACTGATGTAAATGAGAAGAAAATCAACAAGACAGTTGATTTACCCTGAGATTTCAGCAGAGAAATGGATTAGATAACATTAGAATCTGAACACAACACATCAATCCCATTATTTCTTAGCTGGGATGCACAGAGGAGAGGTTTTCCATCTGCTCTGGTAGCAGAACGATACTAAACGTAGCGACAGTGACTTTAATAATACATTTTATTCCCATTTATACCTTCACACATGAAGACTTGGCAAACATCAGCTGAGCAGTGTTTCCTAGTGCTGCCCTGAGAGGTGTGCCTGGTGCTGCTTTCAAAGTGGGACAGGAAGGCACAGCTCACCAGTCCCAGCAGGTCCCCAGGGTGGCTGCAGAGGCTCCATGGGTCATTTCAGGCTGTGCTGCTGCAGCTCCACCTGCCTGTCCCCATGCCACCTTTTCTCCCCCAGCACCTTCCCAACGGTGCCTGTAGGCTCTCACCAGGGCAGGCTTTGCAGGAGGCAGAGGCAGCTCAAGACAGCTTTTACCTCCCTATCTGCACTGAAAGCACAACAGGAGCTCTCACTCCCCCGAGAGGGACCCAGACCACTGCAGAGTGTACCCAGGCATCCCAGAAGCAGTGGCCTGTCACAGCAGAAGCCACATCCTGCAGCCCCAGTGAGGTTTGGCACAGTGGCACACCAGGGAAGCTGCACCCTGGCAGCTCCCTGCACTCCTGGTGGGCTGCTTGTGTCTTTCTGTGTGTTGCCCCTTGGTTTGTTTGGCACCTGGAAGGTGCAAAGCACCACGGAATGATAAGTATGGTTGCTATTTTTCCTCCTCTTTACCCAGGATGTGCTGCTCGAGCCCCTTCTGCTGCTCAGTGAGAGATGGGGTAGCAGAGGCTGCTGTGACAGTCGCACTAGATTTTCATTAGGCTGATGCAAACTGTAAATTATTTCCAACTTCACACAGCTGTCATCATGTCCTCCACTCTGCTCGATGGTATTTTTTTGTCACATATCTGATTTCTGTCAGAGGACAGTGTTATATTGTCTGAGAGATGACAGCTCCAGCACACTCAGCCAGCTATTACGATATGTCTCACTTTAGCCTGACTCTAGGCTGTGTCTTAGTGGCCCCAGTTACCACAGCCTTGTTTCTGCTTCCTCCAAGACACAGTGAGTCTCAGCCAAGCTTAAAATAAGTCCATGCTAGCCAGAGGAGGACACTGAATTTTTGACTATCATTGGCAGGCCTGATGGCATCTAGAAAAACCTGCCTTTGCAAGCAATGGCAGGTGAGAGGAGGCATGAAGGGCTTGGCTGCAGAGAGGCTAGGGCATCCCTCACACATCTCCTGTTTGGCACAGTGATGAGGTTGTGGTCCCACATGGGGGTTGAGCACTGCATGTGATGTAGTTTCACTTGAGGTGCTGCAGTTTGTAGGGTGCTGGGTTGGACGTGGAGGGCCAGGAAGCTCCCAAAGACCAGAGCCTCTGCCATCACACCCTGCAGCTCAGGGCCTCTCTGTGACCCAGTCTAAAGACATCTAGAGGAGAAAAACAAACCCAAAACACACCTCAGGCTGGAGGTTACCCCTGGCTGTGAGGCCACTGTCCCTGGGCATTTTTTCTGGTGATGGGCAAGGCAGTCTGCAAAAGAGCAGAGCCCAGGCACACCCAGGAGCTTCTTTAGTTAGTTCTTAGATAAGCATGTGGCTTATCCTCCCTTCTGACACCGAGCAAAGGCCCAAACTCCACTCACTTCGTGTAGGCAACGGGCAATCAGTGCAGGGAAGCCTGGCTGGGACACCCCAAATGGCAGCAACTCACCAGCGAATGGAAGAAATAAACAGAAATAAATAGATAAACTGGTGAAATGAACAGAAAGGTGTGCAGCCAGCATCTGCTGTCAGGGCCATTTTGTGATACCTGTGTGCAGTTCTGGTGCCCTCAGCACAGGAAGGACATGGAGCTGTTGGAGAGAGTCCAGAGGAGGCTACAAAGATGATCCTTGGCCTGGAGCAGCTCTGCTCTGGAGACAGGCTGGGAGAGTTGGGGTGTTCAGCCTGGAGAAGAGAAGGCTCCAGGGAGACCTTAGAGCACCTTCCAGGGCCTGAAGGGGCTCCAGGAAAGCTGGGGAGGGGCTTGGGACAAGGGCAGGGAGGGAGAGGACAAGAGGGAATGGATGAAAAGTGGAGGAGGGGAGATTGAGGTGAGACATGAGGAGGAAATTGTGGAGTGTGAGGGTGGTGAGAGCCTGGCCCAGGTTGCCCAGGGAAGCTGTGGCTGCCCCATCCCTGGCAGTGTTGAAGGGCAGGTTGGATGGGGCTTGGAGCAACCTGGGCTGGTGGGAGGTGTCCCTGCCCATGCAGGGGTGGGACTGGATGGTCTTGAATGTCCTTTCCAACCTAAACGATTCTATGACTCTATAGGCTGCCGAGGCCTCCAGCACTGAAATCCAGGGTGAGTTGTCCCACCAGTCAGTGCATCCCGTGGGACCTCGTGTGTTGGGGGCACCACACCTAAGACAGGTCAAAAGACAGAGCTCGGTGAGCAAAGCACCAGGGGGGGTGAGGGAAGCAGGAGTTTATGTGTAAGGTTCCCAAAAACAGGGACACACCTGTGGCCCTTCCCAGCTCCTCCCATGGGGGATGTGGAGCTGCTGGAGCGTGTCCAGAGGAGACACCGAGCTGGGGAAGGGGCTGGAGAGCAAGTCCTGTGAGGAGAGGCTGGGGGAGCTGGGGGGGTTTGGTCTGGAGAAGAGGAGACTCAGGGGGGACCTTCTCACTCTCTTCATCCACCTGAAGGGAGGTTTAGTCAGGTGGGATTGGGCTCTTTTTCCAGGCAACCAGCAACAAGACAAGAGGGCCTGGCCTGAAACTGCTCCAGGGGAGGTGTAGGTTGGATATCAGGAAGCACTTCCTCATGGAAAGGGTGACCAGACCTTGGGATGGGCTGCCCAGGGAAGTGGTGGAGGCACCATCCCTGGAGGTGCTCAAGGAAAGGCTGGAGGTGGCACTGAGTGCTGTGGTCTGGAGATGTGGGGGTGTTGGTCACAGGCTGGGCTGGATGATCCTGAAGGTCTTTTCCAGCCTTGGTGATTCTGTGGCTCTGTGAAGTGCTTCAATCTTGACCCAGCCCCTAGCGCTGCCTGTCCTGGCTGTCCCGCTGCCACCTGCCGCTCCAAGGGAGAACCCGTGGGGGGTTCAGCTGCCTCTGCTGCACTTCGTGAGCCAAATCTGAGCTCAGCTGTAGGGATTGCAAGAGTCCCACAGCAATTCCTCATACAGCACAACTACACAGACATATCAGAGAGAATCAGAGATCAGAGGGAACTTCTCAGCAGTTCCTCATGTCCCCGCAGTGATACTTCTTGCTGCATCCCAATGAATTTCCCATGTCCCATGCTCAGTCCCCTGGCCTGGCTCTCAGAATGAACATGGACTTTTCCTCCAGCCACAGTTTCGTGTCACAGCACCCTTCTAGCACACAGGGATGCAGTGGGAATGGAACAAAGATGGGAACATGGGAACAGTGCTCTCCAGTGAGCTCCACAGATGAGTCAGGCATGAATACAAAGCCAAGGACTGCAAGGCCAAGCAGTTTTGCAGGGATCACTGCAGCTCAGCTGTGCCATTGGGACCCTCTTGTGTGGGAGCCCAGGCTCTGACCTGCTGTGCAGCATATAAATCCTGCTTCCTCCCTCTCCTCTAGTTCACTTTAGTCACAGGTGTGCCCTCCCTAAGGGACATCAGAAATACTCTAAGAATTGTTCCCAGAAACACAAGGCTGACACGATTTAGTGCAAAGCTTCATTTTTGCCTGGTTCTGTGCTGTGTATGTGACTTCCATTACAAGCAGGAGAGTCACGTCGTGCACCAAGCCTGCCAAACTCCTTGGTTTCAATTCCTCTGAGCTGTCTTGGCTTCAGGTACCTGAGCTAAAAGCACCTGGTCAACATTGCTCCCAGCTTCTGCCCCTTCTAATCATCCAGGAGGGGTGAATGGCCTCCTAGTCATGATGTGGCTCTGAGATTGCAGCTCACTTCCAGCCCACCACCAGAGCAGGCAGATGTTGTCATGCACTTTCCAATCTCCCCATGGCTGGCCCACAGATGCTAGAGCATGATCCTTTACAGCAGCTCAGGCCAGCAGGAAATCTCTGAAGTTGTCCCAAAGATTATAAGCCTGACATTGCAATTTATACTCGTTACTAAAAGCTGGAGGCTGGAGGACTGGGAAAAAACCTTCCAGTTGATGGAGTTCAGGCAGCCACATCATGTAGTCCTCCCTGCAAACATGTTGGCACCTGAATGTGTCCTGCTACAACTGATTCTGGTGGGTCTGTTGTGACTCCTGAACTTCTCTCATGACTGGGCCTTATGCCCTTTTTCATTCCTGGCTAAATACATTCCCTGACAGCTTTGCCCAGGAATTTTATTTGCTCTTCTCTTACCCTTGAGCTCAATCTTGGGTCAATTTCTAGAAAGCAGTCCTCATCTTGCTGAAACACACAGTTTCTTTCAGGTCCTCTCTGCATTGTGAGGAAGATCACTGGACTAGTGAGAGAAGCGTCATCCCACAGTCCCACACAGCAGAGATGGTGAGGGCTGCAGTGCCACAGGGAACCCTTCTGTTCCTTGAATATTGCTTTGACTTGCACCTCTTCAATTGCGAATTCATCCTTCTTGTGGCTCTGAGATTGCAGCTCACTTCCAGCCCACCACCAGAGCAGGCAGATGTTGTCATGCACTTTCCAATCTCCCCATGGCTGGCCCACAGATGCTAGAGCATGATCCTTTACAGCAGCTCAGGCCAGCAGGAAATCCCTGAAGCTATCCCAAAGATTATAAGCCTAACATTGCAATTGATACTCATTACTAAAAGCTGGAGGCTGTAGGACTGGGAAAAAACCTTCCAGTTGGTGGAGTTCAGGCAGCCACATCATGTAGTCTTCTCTGCAAACATGTTGGCACCTGAATGTGTCCTGCTACAACTGATTCTGGTGGGTCTGTTGTGACCCCCGCACTTCTCTCATGGCTGAGCCCTATGCCCTTTTTCATTCCTGGCTAAATACACTTCCCTGACAGCTTTGCCCAGGAATTTTATTTGCTCTTCTCTTACCCTTGAGCTCAATCTTGGGTCAATTTCTAGAAAGCAGTCCTCATCTTGCTGAAATACACAGTTTCTTTCAGGTCCTCTCTGCATTGTGAGGAAGATCACTGGATTAGTGAGAGAAGTGTCATCCCACAGTCCCACACAGCAGAGATGGTGAGGGCTGCAGTGCCACAGGGAACCCTTCTGTTCCTTGAATATTGCTTTGACTTGCACCTCTTCAATTGTGAATTCATCCTTCTTGAGCCTGGATGACCAGAATGGTGCCCATCAGTCAGCTCAGGTTTCACCAGAACTTTATATAGCAGAATTGACACTCCTTTGTCTCTCCTGGAAATGCTTTGTTCAGTATCTCCTTGAAATCATAGAAGGATTTCATTTTGAAGGGACCTTCAAGATCATTCAGTTCCAACCCCCCTGCATGGGCAGGGACACCTCCCACCAGACCAGGTTTCTCCAAGCCCCATCCAACCTGCCCTTCAACACTGCCAGGGATGGGATGTCTCACCTCAATCTCCCCTCCTCCAGTTTTCATCCATTCCCCCTTGTCCTCTCCCTCCCTGCCCTTGTCCCAAGCCCCTCCCCAGCTTTCCTGGAGCCCCTTCAGAACAACCCTGGTACCTTTTATTCATTCACAGCCATGTCTTTAATTCTAGTCTCCCCATTATCTTTTAAAACCTTGGGGTTTGCTGAAGTCAGCCTAATAGCCCATCACTGGCAGATCACTTTCTTTCCCCTTCCTTAGACCAGGGTATCATCATTTCCTCCTTCCAATCATACAGTACAGTTTTCAGTTGGATGCCTATATTAGAAATCCTTGCACTGCTGGCCATGCCAGTCAGCATCTTTCAGCACTCCAGGAGGAAGGTGATCTGGGTCACACCAGCTCCTTGAGCTCCTCCAGCTTGTTTTGCACTTCAGGTGGGGAAACTCTGGGAAAGATTTTAAGATGTACCAACACTCCTGTGAAATATTTTCCCCTGCTCTCCCCCTTGAGCTCAATCTTGGGTGAATTTCTAGAGAGCAGTCCTCATCTTGCTGAAACGCACAGTTTCTTTCAGGTCCTCTCTGCATTGTGAGGAAGATCACTGGGTTAGTGATCCCCAGGTGTTGAATTCCTCCTGCTTGCTTTCCAGTTTCAGCTTCTTTTGAGGGGAAGCAGCACCTCCTGAACCTGCTGGCAGTGAACAGCATCGGGTACGTCCTGCGCTTCCTGAAGAAGCTCTGTCGCAGCCTCCTGTGTGACAACCTCTTCAGCAACCAGCCCCTGCCCCAGCACAGCGCCGTGCCTGAGGGCCCAGAGGGCTGTGGGAACAGGAAGATGGAGGCAGGTAGGCTCAAGATTTCATATTGTCTTTTTTTTTTCTTGGGTCCTGTACTGTCTGTGCTAGAGCACTGCGGGTTCCTGTGGGACCTTCCAGCAGGCTGATCTGCAGTCTTTTTCTCAGTGCCTATAGAGGAGATTTTCATGTGAGAACCACTGTAGTGAGGGGGCCCCAGCAGTGGTAGAGATTTTTGTATTATTTTATAGATTTAAAAAGAATATTTCTATTAATTTATTAATAGAATATTAATTTATTAATTTGGTTTTTTTTATCTCTTTTCTTCATATGATCCCATTGCCTTTGTTGCTGTCAATTCTCTCCCATAACTTTCTGCCCTCTCAAGCACACCTGACCCTGGGGTAGAAGCCTCAAAGGCATTAAATTCATTCAAATTTCAGGCAAGTGGGAAGGTAGAAGGGGAGTAATTTCTCTCTCCATACATCTTAACCACGACATGCAGCACTGAAGGATCCCCACTGGCTACCAAACCTTCCCTACTTGCAGACCTGCCACAGAGTATTGCCTGTCCCCACTTCCACACCCCTCTCCTCATGCACTGCCTTGGCTTCTTGGCTGCAACAGGAGGTGGGAGGCCTCCAAGGTAGTGGTATCAGCTGTAGGACACTCAGCCTGGATCCACATCTGTCACCTCCACCCCTGGGTGTAAACCCACATGAGAGCTGTGACTGCTACGAGGTTTGCTTTGCTATTGCAGGGGTGTTCCTGCTGGCTTACAATGCCAGTGGGCACCTGCAAAGTAGCAAGGTCCCTGCTTTAGTGCTTGGCCATGTGGGGAGAAGCCTGGAGTGGCAAAAGTTAGTTTAGAAAAAAAAAAGAAAGATAGAAAATTATGGCCCTGACCCTCCACTTCACCTGCAGGCTTCCTCCTGACTTAAATTATTTTTCCTTCTCTTTTATTAACAGCACTGTGGGTGTTTGGGGAGCACACTCTCATGCATTCAGTTTAATGGCAGATACATGCTGGCAGCTGAGAGAAAGGTGGTTTAGTGTCCACCATTACCATCCAGCAATCACTTGTTTGCCAGGAAGACCCTAAGTGTGTGCTTCCCACACCAAAGCTGGGAGTGGGCTGTGCACACAGTGCAGAAATGGCCTTTTTGGGCAAAGAAATCAAGCTGCCACTTTTACATGTAGGAGAGGAAAAGCAGGAACCCAGATTGGAAAGCAGTATTCCTTTTATTTTATTCATTTGGACTAGGACATCTGCAGCAACCTGAATATTTTTGAGAGGTCAAGGGATTTCTGCAGCACTGAGTGAATGCAGCCCAGGAGGCCTGGCATTTGCATTTGCATTTTAATTTGCATTTACATTTGCATTTACTTTTGCACAGCAAGGCTGGATGTGATGGGAGGCAACACCAGAACACCAGAGTTTTTCCAGTTACACTCTAAGCATCACCCTCACCAAACCATTCCCACTGGCTCTGCCTTCTGAGGAAGGCACAATATGTTATTTTTGCCCCAGAACAGGCAGGAGACAAGTATGTAGGGAAGGCTTCTCTTTCCTGGCTCTCCTACTACAGGGATTCTCCCCCCAGCCTGAATTTGTGTCTGGGGTTGCACCAACCCTGGTGCACTTGACCTTGTTGAACTTCATGAGGTTGGCAGGGACCCACCTGTCCAGCCTGTCAAGGTCCCTCTGGAGGGCCTTCCTTCCCTCTAGGGTGTCAACTGCTCCACACAGCTTGGTATTATCAGCAAGCTTGCTGAGGATGCACTCAGTCCCCCTGTCCATGTCTCCAACATAATATTCCTGTTGATCATGTCAGAAGCAACTCTGTTGGCACCAGTGGAATAAGTCCAGTTTTAGGCACTGGGGCTTGAGCCACTGAGTCTGTGTTTAATGCTGCATTGTCTAAATCACCTTCCATCTCCCCTTCTCTGCAGCAAGGTCAGCACAGGGGGGAACAGAAACGTGGTTCCCCTGTGGTGGCAATACTGAGGACAGTAGGAGCTCATCTCACAGGCAGGTCTGTGAGGGAGCCTGTTGGGACAGAGCTCTGGTGGAAGGAGCAGGGCCATAACAAAGCACTGCAGGAAGCCAGGCAAAGCAGCCACATTTTTCATTGTTTCTGTTCTCCAGCTTGTAAGCAAGATGTTCTCTCTTCAATAATCATGTGCTTTCCAGCCCCTGTGTACCCATGGATGTCACACAGGTATTGACTTCAGTGCAGTTACCCTTGATTTACACGTGCAGCAGTGAGGGGGAGGGCAGGCATCGTGTCCACTCATATTAATCCCCTCACACCACTCCAGAGTCACCTCTTAACCTTGCCCTGCAGCACATGCCCCCGAGCCATCATTCCCCTGTGCTCACAGCAAACTGCCAGGTGCTAATGGCTTGTGTAGCTCAGGTGGGATTTGTTGATCCATGCATGTATCACTTACAAGGATGTTTTATGTGTCTAAGAAGCAAGTGTGCACTGGGCTGTACCCAGCACCAGGTTCTGCAATGAGCCTTGCTGGCTGAGCACTGCCCTCAGTGGCCCCAAGCCCCTGTGCTCTGCCTGTCCTGACAATGCCTCTCACACCAGCACCCAACAGCCCCACATCTGGGGCAAAGGTCCCTCTCCAGCCCTCTCCCAGTGCCAGTGGTTTCACTGCCTTGTCTTGGCAGGTCTGGGGACAGACCCCATGGCTCTTTCTCAACTGTGAGGCAACTTCCTGGCTCATGAGAGCAAACTGTGGGGAGCAGTTGCTGGATGACTCCCAGGACTACATAAGGGAAGTGCCTGGCTTCAGGTTTGCATCACACTTAGACCTAAGATGTTCTCTGTCCCTACAGCACCTCGGTTGAAAGCAGCCCTGGACCTGCACCCCAAAATTTTCTGTGGGAGTGGCAGTGCAGTTTGAGGTCAAATGATGGCAAGATCTGGGTTAAGTCTGCAGAAAATGCTGTCAGGAGTGCCAGGGATTACATGGATGGGAAGCCAATGGGGCAGGGATCCTGTGAAGTGCCTCCACCTCCACCCTCTGCATTCAGCTTCCACTGGTCGTCCTGTGCTAAGTCAACAGAGGCTTGGGTGTGTGCATGGAAAAGGGACATTTTTGAATCCCCTACATACTGTTGAGATGCACCAGTGCAATGTTGGATTGTTATTTTTTAGAGAAAAGCAGGTTGGCTACAGAACTTCTTGTGGGCACAGTGACTGAAGAAGAGTTTCTCTTAAAAATAGGGTGCTGTCCTGTGTGGGAATCATCAGTTATGCTAAGCACCTTCTTCTTTCCCTTTCAGTTAATTATTTTCTTGCTCTTTGAGTCCTGAACCCTGGGCTTTGGTGGTTTTCTGCTGTTAGATAATTGCTGTACCCCACACAGAGCACAGCTGCACAGAGGCAGCAGCTGCAGCAAACCTTTCTTTACCTGAGGACTCTTGTGGCCACTCTCTCCCCTTGTCCTTGCCAGGGAGGGAGACAGGAAGGCCTGTGAATAAGGTCCCAAACCTTGCTCCTCTTTCAGGTCAAATCTGCATGTGTAGATGCCATATGGTGTCCCCTCCTGCTGCCCACAGCAGAACAGCACCTCTTGTCGTGGCCATGGCTGGAGGTAAGGCCCCCTATGGAGCAGAAGCACTGGGGGGTAGAGGTTCCCTTGCTACATCAGTGCCTCTGTGCTGTGCATAGGAAGGTGGGCTCTTCCCATCTACATGCACTTGAGAAGCTGGTGTGAGAAGTGCTAGAGCAAGGCATTGTAGGAATGTGAGCAGGGGCCAAGCCACGAGGCTGGCAGCTGGATTTCATCTGAGACTTTCCCAGTGGTGGTGTGGGCAGGTCACCTTTCTCTGCACTGTCTTGATTTGAGCATCTGTCCAAGGGGGACAATAATTCTTGCCACCATGTGCAAAACCTTCTAAAACAGCTGGGGGGGTGGAATAATAAAATGATAGAAAATCACATATTATTACAATCAATATTTTCTCTTCCAAGAACCAAATAAACAGCTTAAAAATTTCAAGCCCTGAGAGGGCAAGAAAAATGTTGTTTTTTCCCTTTCTAGTACTGTGGCCTGTTTAATCTTGTCTTGTTGCACACTATGAGGAACAGTGCTCCTGGCTGCTCAGCACACTCAGAATAAATGGCTTTTATGGCTATCAATAGCAGCAGCTCTCTTCAGCATTTAATTACCTGCAAAGGCCATTTATTGCCTCATATATTCCTCTACCATGAATATTATCCTTTAAACAATAAATAAAATATTCAGGTCACTCCTAAAAAGGGAGCAGAGGAACTGCACAAGCCATCCAGCCATGGAGAAGTCTGATATAAAAAGTTGGTCTGGTCTTTGGGGCATTGGAATTGATGGCAGAGCCTGCAGGAGAGCAGAGAAAGGGTGGGATGGCTGCAGGCATTTCTTCCTTCCTTTCTTCCTTCCATCTTCCTGGATGCACAAGTCTGTGCATCCATCAGCAGGCTGGGTGCCTCCTCCTTCTCCAGACTGGACCCAGCCAGTCCCAGGGCAGGGCATCCCAGCAAGGAACCCCCCACTGTGGTCCTGCCTGCAGCTGGAGCACCATCCCCAGGAGTGACTTCCTGAAACCAGATGTCCAGGGGGACAGAGCAGAGAGAGAGGCAACTGCAGCTGGAGCTACCTGGTTTCATTCAGAAACCCAGGGAAGGGCAGGAACAGTTTAGGATGGCACAAGAAGTAGGAAGTAAAAGCAGGAGGGTGAAAGGAAGGAGACAAGCAATGCTGCTGGGGAGAGGTTTCATGAGGGTGGTAGTAGAAGCTTTAGCATTCAAGCTCTCTAAACCTAGATCAGAAGAAACCAATGGAAGGGATAAACCCTGACAGGAGGAATAATAAGAGATGGGTGGGAAAGATTGAATTCACCTGTGATATAATTTGCCTGAACTCTATAGAATTGGCACAACTGGATAAACTGACCTTGCTGACCTTCCAGCAGTGTGATTACTGCTTGCTGACCCCCAGATGTAGAAAGAGTCCCTCTCTGCTCCTTTACATTTCTGAAAGTGTATCTCCTTGTG